ATAATCGCTCTTTCAACTAACCGATTTTAGCACGGTATTATTGTCATATGCTATAACAACATTATTGCTATCACTGTCAATAAATGTCCACTTAACCAGCCCAGACGATTTTTGTCGTAGAAGTAGGTTTTTGTTTGCGAGCGTCTGTTGGTTTGCTCCTGACTGTTTTCAACTTCAACTCCATGTCGTGCGAGTATGAGTCTGAAGCCCACGAATCCTCCCGTAGATTCGGAAGTACATGTCCAACTTTTTGGTCTGTGCAATGTAGCCGCTCTTATCGTCTACGCATGCATAGCCTACCTGAGTTGTTTGGGTTTCCATCTTCTCTTAACACCCTTTCTTAGCACTGATGTTAAGCATCATCGTTTACTTTTTTTTGCAATGCGCCTCAATATAGCCGATATAGCGTCCTTGTATAACACGTTTTGTCTTTTTGGGTGGTTGCGGTTGTGTTCGATTTTGCGTCCTACTTTTTGCCTTCTTAAAAACTTTGTTCTTTATGTATCAACAATTCTGCGGCTGACGGGTGCATTTAGGAAAGCGTGCTGATGGTCCTCCTCCTCTCATCATATATTATGTGTACAAAGACATTGCTGAGACGTTCTTCAAATGCTGGTACCAGATTCCATCCTATATCAACATACATTTCTCCTTAAGTGGTTCTTGGGGCACTCATTTTTGCTTAAAACTACAAATTCATCTTCACATTTTGGCCAGTATTATTGGTTCGCCATGACTAGACTTTAGGCGTTTCGTTACATTTACTTCGTATTTCACATTTTATTGGTGTTTTCAACCTATTTTGTTGAAAAACCGCTAGAAGGATCGACGGCATTCGCTGCTGTCATACATGCTGATTTTGCAATAAATAGGGAGAACACACTCGTCGTCTGGGGGTGCATTACCAAGGCGGACTATCCCAAGACGAGCCTAAATTTATGACATTGCCTAGGAAATCGTGTCCACCACCTCTAATTCCATTCCCAATGCCGAAACAAACGAAAATGTTGTCAAAACCTTCCTCCCTTCGAGTCATCAATATGGAAATCTACCAAAAAGTGAATGTTTTTAGCATTAACAGCGTAACAATATTCTGAGCAGTGTCCACTGCTAGACGAAATGGGCTCAGGTTCTAGAGTCGCAATTACTGTATACCTTAATGTAAGTTGCTATCAGAGACTGGATTTGACAATTCGTTCTGAGAGCAGAAATAAGTTCTTGACGTGTGCGCACTGCAGAGTACGACATTTTGATCATCCTGACCAACGATGCCCACTGCGTGCTCCACAGCATGTAGGCACAATGACTTGCGCGTGAGTTAGTTGCTGGTTAGCGTAAACTCAGGACATCCCGCCTATACGGGTTGTGTGTTGTCAAAACGTCTTGTGCTTTACGAATACGCTTCTATTGGATTATAGTCTGCGTAGCATCTGCGACTGGATATAGTGAAATGTCGAATAGAGTAACAAATACAAACATATGGTAATGATTTATAATAAATCTTAATCGAAAAGCATACTTTTTATAGGTATGCGACTTGATTAGACGCCAGAGCGAATCAATGAAAAAAAATAAAACTTTCAGAAGCGCAAAGTATTTTGAGTTACCTCATGAAGCCGTACCCCTATTCCGTTGTAAGAATAATGGCCGTAAAGCATAATTTCTGCAGTTACTGCAGGGTGTCGGGCTTCAATAGAACTTCTTTTCGGTTGCCTGCAAAGATCATACTCGGTAAAACTGAATATCTAATCGGCACGGAGTTATCACACAGACTGCTATGTCTTTATGAATTCAAATAATTTCCTAGAAAACATGCATGAACAAATTTTCTTATCTTAATCTTTCCGGTGTAAAATATGTCTTTTTCTAATTTTATTCTTATACATGAAACATAATTCGGTTTTTAAAGCGTTTTTTTCTGAGATTTTGTGCGAGCGTAAAATGTCCGTCCATAAAACATCCACCATGCCTTTACGCATGTTATTAGCAAAGTTCAAAATTTTATTTAAATCCAATAATATATTTTATGAACCCCCACAGGTGTCCGGTTAACGGTGAATAAAATTATATGATTTTTCATACACGGGAAATATACAGTCTGTAGTTTGGAATCCCCGAATGCAAGTGTACGGGCAGGTCGAATTCAAAATCATTCGGGAACTAAAAAGAATTCCTTAATCCGATGTATATTCTTTCTTCAAGCATAATATTTAATGGTGTCACTTTTTACTTAAATAGGAGGGGACAAATATAGTCTTGCGTGTTCTTTATTAAATATACTTTAATTTAAGGTGGCATCGGAAATTAGTGGAAAAACCATACTACTTAAGTTGGCGTTCTTCCCGAAGTGCAATTTTTAGGCCGCCAAAAACGTTCGTTCTGTAGGCGAATTGTCACAGTATTTGAGCTATCTTGGTATTCTGCTGCACAGTGGTTAGTATTACAACTTCACAAAAATAATTCGTTTAATTCGAAAACTCATTTCAGAATTTTGGTAAGCATTTCATGATTTGGCACATCTACTGTAATGTAAGTTGTATAATGTAGAAGCAGAATAGTCCGGTAAGTTATGTCGTGGAATTTGAGCTCCTTCCTCTATTTCTCTTTTGGTTTGTGCGCGCAAAACTGAAGCTTTTATTTTAGTTTGTAACATGATCCTTCCTTCAGGTTTATACTTTACATGTAGTCCTTGAGTCAGGTAACTTTGAATGCAACTGCACTGGTGGCATGCTGATCATTCCGGTGGATTTTCACCTTTAAGAAAATAACTAACAGTGCACAACGGAAGCTGACTATTGCCCTCTTTAGCCAAAGATTTAGCAAATCAGGCAGCATCTTTAAGCCTCGCCAACCCCTACGTTACGGTTTTACTGGTAGAAAATCTTGTGTTCTATGCGATTGTCCGCATTTTTTCAGTAACATTACTCTAAATATCCACGCACCACATACGGCAAAATTATCGCTGATAGACAGTAGTTTTGGTTCTCCTCGGAACGCCCAATTACTATTTCTAAATCTGACGCATGCTACGTACAATTGTCAATATTTTGCATGGGCAGGATATCCACAAAACTAGTGCGTGGGTATTTGAGCTAACCCTATGCTGCTAGTATGGCATCTTGTGACCCTAAAATATACTACTAGCTGCCTGTCTGGGAGTAATAGAAATTACATCTTTTTAATTTCCTGAGAAAGTATCTACGAAATGGGAATAGCGCAGTTTATTCAAGTCTATAGGCACAAACCGAGAATTTTATACATGAACATTTGGGCCAAAGTCCATCAGCCACAGCGGGTAGCCGTGTTATATTCATTGACCGCTGACAGGCAGCTATTTTTATAGTTAGGGCAAGGTGATATCACCCTAAATTATACTACTAGCTGCCTGTCGGCAGTTAATGAATCTTACGTGGATACCCGCTGTGGTTGATGGACTTTGGGCCAAATATTCATGTATAGAATTCTGGGTCTGAGCCTATAGACCTTGAATAAACTGAACTACTACAACTTCGTAGAAAAATTCTCAGAAAATTAAAAAGCGACAATTTATAAATTGGAGTATCTACCAGAAAACACACAGGGAACGCTGGCTGACATATTGACGAGCCAAATCCCTTGCAGCTGCGCCATACGGCGAAAAAACCTCGACAAAACGCGCGTGCATAGGCTTTTGGCTAGTGCCTGTGCTGATAGTATGGTATCACCTTGCCCTAACGGACATTACTCCGTTATCCGCCATGGCTGATGGATTTCGACCCAGATATGCATACACCAAATTTCAGTCTGCGCTGTAGACCCTAGTATATACTGTTGTGTTTAGAGTTCGCAGCTAATTTATAAGGAAAATAAAAAGCAAACATTTCCAAGCTACCTCTATTTTGGGCATGATTTATGCTTTCAAATAGACACGCAGCGGGAAAAAGGTCGGGCATATGACGGAGACTTGTGCAACCTAGTTTACATATATTCTTGGTAGTTCCTTCTAACCAATTATCTTTTCTTCAACACCCAGCACATGGCTTATCACGGTGGAATGTTAACTGCCGGGGATAAATTTTCGGACATGTCACTTACAGATAAGAAGCCCACCTCTTGATTTTTGTTTTAAACTGTATGAGCATGTCGTTATCTTATTTTATGGAGGAAGGCCGACCTAACTGCGCAATTAATCCTGACTGCAGTATCCAAACATTTAGAATTGTTGATTCCTTGATGCTGTTAATAATTCATTATCTGCATACATGCTTACGTTTCTTATAATATCTCTAATCACTTCTTCTGGCTGTATTTTGATATTTTTGCTTAACACAATCACTAAACAGTTTATCAAATATTTAATACCGGAGAACTGTCAACTATAAAGGCCACATTTTGACTGATAAATTGCATTCCATTGTCGTACTTCTTGGGCATCACCAACAAAACTAGTAAAGGAATCTTGGAAGTTGATAGGGACAAAGTTATGTGTTGTGGAGTAAATTTTAAGACAAATATTTAGGATGGACTTTCTTTTTACTCAGGTTTTACCGAAGAGCATCCATACTAAGCATTCTGGTTGTCAATTGAATGTTGCAGACTAATATGCGATTTACAGTAGATGTGCTAACTCATGAAATGTCCACTAAAATTTCGAAATGCGTTCTCGTTTCGAAAAGATAAATTAAGTAGTGTTGTAAAAATAATTATGATGCAGCATAAATCCATAATGATCCAGTTACATCAGGGTGTCGGCTTTCGAAAGAACTTATTTTCGACTGCATGCAAGATCTATATTTTGTAAAATATAACTACTTAACTAGTATGCAATTTTCTCATTGATTTTCGATGCCCTTGAAAATTCAATTATATTTCATGGAAAACATGAATACAAATATTCATTCGTTTACTTATTCGTTAGAAAATCACGTCCTCTTCCAATTTCATACTCACAAGAAGAGTATAATTTGGTTTTAGAAAAGTTTCTAATTGTGAGATTTTTTAATACCGTTAAATGGCCGTTCATGAAACGTCATGTATCTGCATTCACGAATGTGGCCTCCTCCTCCTCCTTCTCCTCCTCGCCCCCTGCTCCAAAGGCGGCCGCTCAGGCGACTGTCCCGCGCACAACAACCGACACTACCACCACCACCTCGAACGACTCCAGCGATGAGGATCAGGACTACACCTGCCCTCACTGCGACCGTACCTTCACGTCACACATCGGCCTGGTCGGTCACTTGCGAATCCATCGCACAGAGACTGGCGAACCAGTGCGTGAAGCACCAACCTACACCCACCGCACTCGCCTCCACTGCCCACACTGCCCTCGCACCTTCAGGCATCGCATGGGCCTTTTCGGCCACATGCGCATCCACGACGACCTGCGGTAGACAACCGCCGGTCACACCACACATTCACTCACTCCCTTCCTCCTCCACCACCACCATCACCCCACCAGAAATCAACACTCACACACCTCATGCACCCAACTGCCACCTCCCACGCAAGTGGGAAGTACGCATCTCGACTCGGTCCCCATGCGGCTTCGGCTGCACGGGTGACTTGAGTCCGAGACTATCCCGACACGTCAAGCGTCGTGGATAGGAAGGTTGCTGATTGACGTCCGCTCTCGGTTCACGCAGTTCGTCGCGTTGTGTGTGTGTGTGTTGTGTGGAGTGACGGACTGGTGGGCCGGGGACGGGCTGAAGCTGCACCTTCCACGGCCCTCTCACGCAAGTGAGAGACACGCCGTTCAACCCCCGTTGTGTGAAATCCTGGTGTTGTGTGTATGGGGGGCCAGATCGTGCGGTGGCGCGCGCAGTCATGGTCAGTCGACCATGACAGCCACCGCGCCCATTCCCCACTCCAGTCTGCTGACCGGCTCGGACAGCGGCTGGGGTGTGGGAGTGGGAAGGGAGAGTGAGGTCGACGACTCAGCGCACTTTCTCCTCACTATAAACAATCTGACGCGCTTGAAGCTATCACGGTGCGCTAAAAGCCGTGGCTTGGAAGGTTTCCAACTGACGGGGTAACTTGGACCTCCTCCTTGACGGGATGCGGTCTGAGAGTCAGTCTGCAATGGCTCCTTGTTAATGTGGCCTTTATGGCATTCCCATCACAGTGTGGGATCCGAGCCAGGCGTTGGCGGCACGCCCAGGTGCGGCTTCGGCCGTGCCAGCCTCCAAATCTCTGTTGTGATTGGTTGAAATCCTGGTCATTTGTTTTGTGGACCAGGGGGTGTGGTGGAACGCCAAGGTGAGGATCCGTCCGAGCCATGCACCTGCGGCCTCCCTTGTCTCCGGTCTTCTTGACTCGGTTTTGTCACCGGCCTCGGGCGAGCGAGGAGGAGAGAGTGTAGGAAATGCTACGCAAGTCTACCGGCACTATAAACCCCTGCTTAAGTCACCGTCCCTGCTCCCATTGCTGCTGCAACTGTGGGGCACACGGTGGACATCATCGAAACCGATGGTCGAACTGCCATAAACCATGAATGCAATTATATCGGCAGATGGCCAAAACAGCATTTGGGAATTGTTCTAAAATGGACAGATACCCTGTCTCCTAATGTAAAATGTAATTAGAAACCAAAATCTTTTCAAATACCTATACAAGCATATTTTGCAAACATTTTGGGCAATGTGTAATTGAATTTATTACGACACCGAAAATCAATGAGAAGATTGCATATTAGCTAAGCAGTTATTTTTTGCGAACGGCCAAAAGCCATATTCAACAGCCGGCATCCCGACGTGACTAAGATATATTATGGTTACACTGCATGATAGTTAGTGCTACAGATATACCTAAGCAGTCTTTTGGAATCAAAAGCACATTGTAGAATTTACATTAACATTTCATGAAGTAGAACGTCTACGCTATTCGCTGCTAAATAGACCCCTAATTACTTGGTAAAACCCTTATTTTTTATAGGCTGATTCGTCCTCCATAGGATTTTTTGAATGTTAAACAAATTTCTGTTTATTGCAGTCATCATTAAGCACTGTCTGGTTGCGCCAATTAAAATGGAGCTGGTGACAAATTGGGCATTGATATGACGATAAAACTTAAGTTTTCTTCTAAGCTTTACGTATATTTTCCTGAGTGACTTGAATGTCTGACGTCTGGGATCATGCGCTGAAATTCATAGTTCTTAATCTGATGACGACACATGCCATTACAAAGTTCGTCCTGTTGCCAACACAAGAAACCAAGCCTTCTCGTCAATTTACCACGGTTTCATAAAGCGTTCACAGCTATCATTCTATGCGTTATTTTTCGATGGGTACTCCGTATGATTTCCTATTCTCTAAAGATGGATGATGGCAGTCACTGCTCTAAACGTCAGACGTTCAATTTACCTCCCTTGGGGAACGTCTCGTCTTTTGACATGCCATGTGGGGAACGCATAAGTGTGTAAAATATGTTCAACGACTCCTAAAATAGGCGAAACAAGACATTGTCACTGATGCTCATTAGTGTAGTGAAGGCACAAACGTATACAAGCATGCAAACCATAAAACAAGATCTTCACCGAATTGTCTGAGTGCAAACCCGCAAATATTAGGACGATAAATTGCCTTTGAAAATTATGCTTTCACTGACAATTTGCTTAATATTTAGTTTTTATCACCGTCAGATCTTTAGCAGACCTGTTTACTAGGTAGTAGGATATCAGTAGTAGGATATCATCATTAACAACATTATACGAAGCAACTGTCTTCTCGATGATATCCTCATCAGCAAGCTCATCTGACGATTTGGCATTCAGGCGACTATGAAGACATTTACGACACGCGTCTTATCCATAAAGGTCTGTGCGACATTCCAAAATATTTCCATTTACGCTCACGGACATACTGCCCTGGTTGTCTACCCTAGCATATGGTGTAGTCTGCAGTTTTCAGCTGCACAGTGATATGCCATATTTTGTGCGTCCGGTGTTACCTTTCCGACGTCAGTTTGGAAAGTACGTTTTGGATATAGCAGAGTTCGGCAGTGTTACTTTAGGTCTGCAAAAGAACATCAGATATTATTGATGATGAATTCAGCTTTAAGCAGCATGTTGCGGATTCATTTTATGTCATCGTGATCAATCTCGATGCCTGCATTGTTTTTCATATTAATACAGTCGCATGAATCAGATGCCTCGGCGGCAGATAAAAGCGTCTAGTTCTTCCAATCATGTTAACTTCCATTAGTCTCGTCGTCATGCGATTAGCCATCGTCAGTAGTTAGAAATCTTCTCAAGATCTCTGCCACTCAATGGAAGAAAAGCCGCATCTACTTCGTAAAGAATGTTTTATTCTTTTTTTAAAGAAACACGCATCGAATATTCAGATGAGCCGTTAGCGAGCTTACGCGTACTTTCGATACATTATTATCAGGCCTGTACATTTGTATTGAAACGAGGTACAAACTGAGAGTGTGGGTGATAATTTTAATTGATTCCGGTTCGTCAATTCAAACAAACGGGGTATGTGAGTAGAGTGCGGGGAGGAAGGAGAGAATAGGAAACAGTCACCGACAGTGAGAGTTAGGTTGAACCCTGCCACAAGGGGAGTAGGAAGGGGGGCGCGCGTGGAGACGTGCTGCATACAGTTAATCGATCCTGGCCCACGAAAGACGCCGAGCGTGAAAGGACCGACCTCTATAGCTCGATGAGAGTCTGTTCTGCTGTTGCTAGTAAGCGCTAAATCAATCGCTTAGGCTAGCAAGTTGGGACCTAGTAAATCACACGAAAGGCTTCGTTGCGATCCACATGATGCCCAGACTCAGCTATATATGTGAAGATAAGGCTGTGTATGCCCTTAACTTCATCTTTCCTAAGCCATGCTGGAAGGGGGTTCACGTATTCTTGTGGATAGGTGCCGACGCGTACGACCAATATAGTCTTCTCCTCAGTACCAAGTAAATGAGTTAATGCACATGGAGGTGGTCTGAGCTGGTAGCCTATCCCTACCTTCCTCCAGTAAGACGGAGTTGGTCGAAAACAATGCCTGAACTCTTACTGCCGGGAGGGTCCGTGTAACGGCTGGGTCAAGATGTCTTCTCAGGATCTCACTTATCGCGTCCCCTGGAAAAGAGGCCTTGAGGCACAAAGTTTTCATTTCTGCGGTCGGTAGGATGAGTGCTGCCGGTAGTTCGGCAAGATTCTTTAAAAATAAATATGCCAGGATACCCGTTCTCGCGGAGTATGTCCTGGATCATTTTACGTTCCTCATCAATGCTGTCTGTCGAACACATTTCCTAGCACTTTAGGTCAAACAACAGACAAAATTACGTTTCCGTTGAAGGGGTGCGGAACTGTAAAAGTTCATACTTTGTCCAAATCAGGTGTCCTCACGGAAGACGCTTCATCCAACGCCGCCGTCTGCTCTTGTGCTTAAAAGTACGTCAAGGAAAAACAGGGAACTTGTACTTTCCACCTCCAACCTAAATCTGATCTGCAGATGTGCCTGATGTACGACATCCAAGAAAGTGATTATGTTGGTTCCTCTGGTGGCAATTGCGATGATGTTGTCAATGTAGTAACCGTAGGGCCTCACTTTATTGATTTGGTCATTTAACTGACACTTCTCTAATTTGCCCATGAAGACATCGGCTGGGAGAAAACCAAAATGTGATTCTACAGCAACTCCGTCTACTTCTCTACATATTTGGTTGTCAAAAGAGGAATTACACACTTTGCAACATTTTTGTAATATTTTCTTGAGCGCGCTCGTCGGAGTACCTATTTCATGGTGATTGGTTGACGGGAATTCACACATGTACTCAAATGTCTTCGTGACCAGCACGTTTGAGAAATCAAGTGAAAACATCACCGCAACGATAAGGTTTAGGTCTTTAACGTCCTCGATGAATTCGAAGATATCCCGATATATTTATGGTGCCATTTAATACTGTAAAGTTTCGAGTTTCCTTTTTGAATGGACGTTTGGGCCGTGTTAGTGCCTAAACTTAGTCAAAAAGAAAAATGAATTCGTGCGTAAAGGCGTTAATAGACATATACTATGGGAAACTCGAGACAGCTTTTGTTAGCATAGTGCATGACCGAAAACGCACAGCCTAAATTTTGGTCGTTTTCTTTATACCTTACAAGGTTTGTTCTTACTCATGAGCTATTAACCGTAATTCCGAAATGCTTTTATAACCTAAGAGATTACTTAGAAAGTGTTGTGAAAAATCCAAGAAATATTTCGAATACTATGTGATGGCGAATCGTTTCGCCACCAGCGAAACATACTTTTTGCAAAAATGACTTCCTAGGCAGGCTGAATTATTCTCATTGATTTTCAATGCCATTATTAAACCAAACATATTTTGCAGAAAATATATATTAAAATATTCACACTTCAACTCCTAAGGTAGCAAATTCCGTCGTCTTTAAAAT